TTTACTCCACGTGCGAGGCTCAGTATTGCTGCACAAGAGTCAGAACACATTACCCCTACACTTCCTCTGCCCACTGCAGCGCTACCAGCAAGCCACTAATTCTGCTGTGTGATCAGATATTATTGTCTTAATACTGGTTTGAAACTGTGGAAGCAACAGTGCAGCAGCTGTTCTGCCAGAGTTAGGGTGTTTAGAAGCATCAGTATACATGTGTAACCACGCTGGAGAAGTCTGATCTAAATACTGCTGTGCAATCATGTTCTTAGGGGTCTCTTTCTCAATCTTACTTTTTATTTGTATTTGAAAATCTACTATTGGCGTAGGAAAAATCCGACGTCACGCGCCTCTGACGAACCCGCAGACCCCGCCCACTCGCCGAATACCGGCCGCTCATTGGCTACTGGAGCTTTACGTCATGAAAACAGGAAGTGTGCAGCGCTTTAACTGTGAGTAACGTGAACACGTGATCGTCGTTTTACAGCGTTATTATGTGTTGTAGGTTCATAAACGCGATGTTCGTCGCTGAGACCGAGTGGAGAGCGTGATGTCGGACTGTGAGCCGCTGGGGAAGCGCGCGAGGCTGCTGGGGTCCGAGGCCCCGCGTCACGGGTAATCACCCGGATCCGCTGAAAGACGGGTTTATGGAGTATGTTGAAACTCCTGGCGAGTGATCATATCATTTCTATTAAACAGGACTGAAGATGCAGAAACCCCGCAGAAAACAGCTCCTCCGTGCTCGGATTCATCTAAACTCCAGAAGAAGCGAGCGATGAGCGACTCCAGGTGCAGCCGGACTCTGGATAACTGGCTGCTGAAGCCCGTGGCGGCCCAGAGAAGCTCTCAGCAGCAGCAGCAGCAGCAGCCCGAACCTGCGGGCTCCGAGCAGGACAAACCCAGACCAACCGGTTCTGCGCCGGTCTCAGACGCTGCCGCGAACAGCTTCTTCTCTGAAGCTCCAGGCAAAGCCGCGCGCAGGAGGTGAGCAACGCAGCATGTTTGATCAGAAACAGATGCGTCCATCCAGCTGCTGTACGGCGCATGCGCTTAACGCGAATCGGGTGTGGCCACAGGCACGTTACGTAATTAATATTCATGAGCCATGACGAGTCTGGCACCGCCCGAGCCGCTAAAAAGCCACATTTGCATGTATATATAGTTTTAGGCCTAATAATTATTCTTTTATGATAACAATGCTAGAGTGACTGTGGTTTGTGGAAGATTTAGTTTTTAATCTTTGCTATTTCTGTATCCGTGGCAACTATTAAAAGATTCAGAC